TGTATAACAGTGAAAGAACTTTTTTTCCAAATAAAAAAGTGAACTGGGGAGGAGGGGGCACAGGGAGGAAAATGTGCAACAATGAAGTAATGGAAATCCAAGTTCTTTATAAACTTTCATTAAAATCTAAAAAAAAAATAATGAGAAAGACGGGCAATCTCCTCCAATGCAATTTACTGCCACTGGAGGGTCAGCTATGAGTTAGTTCCAACACCATGATGCACAAGTATAAATGGTTATAAGACCATTTGGAAATGGTGGTATTTGTTATGTTAATTAGGCAAGATTAGCATACAGTGTGTTTTGAGTCAATATCTCTTTTTTTTGTCCCTCTTTTCTTGTTGTGTTGACTGACACAGGAGGAGATTGCCCCTCCTTCTCCAGCAGAGCATCTGGTGGATTCGAATGGAACCGCTTGCCTTCAGGATTACAGTGCTGCTTCCTGCCACTAGGCCACCAGAGCTCCCTTTGACTCATTATCTCTTGAGACAAAGGGTAAAGGAAAACCTACCAGGCAGAAGGGAGGGACAGGAGAGGCCAAGCCACACAAAGATTATTTCACGACCAGAAACTTAGAGACAAGGACATTCTTGCACAGACAACAGAAAAAGGAGCCCTTCCCCTATCACTAGCACATTGAATTTATACTTCTGGCCTCCTAAATGGAGAGGAAGTAAGCTTCTGTTTGTTGTAGGCATCCACTTGTGCAGAAGCTTTCTATATCAAAATGCCAACAGAAAAACACATACACACATTCTCTCTCTCCCCCCTAGAGCTCAGGTAGAACCAGTAGCTGTCAGTTGCTATGGTGTCTGTTCTTGCTCATAAAGAAGGTCTGTTCTCAACTTCTGTATTATAGATGGATGTATTGCCCAGTCCTGTCCTATCCTCAGAATCACAATGCACCAGAATCTACCAAGGCAAAGCTAAAAACATCACATGTCCCTCCCTAAATCTTTCACTCAGTATTCACCCTGGTGAGCCTGCAACATTCCATGGGGTCTACTGGAACACAGTGACAGAGTCTCTCTTAAGAGAACCTATGGCACGTTGCTTCTCAAAATAATGACAGTGACAGAGTCCACCAGAGCGGAGCTGTGTGACGCTAGAGCTGCTGTTTCTGATGACTTCAATTCAAAGAAAGACAGAAAACTTCAAGGGAGCTCTGGTGGCCTAGTGGCAAGAAGCTGTGCTGCAATCCCAAAGGTGCAAGGGAGGGGCAGTCTCCTCCTGTGCCAGTCGGATCTAATTAGACAGCACGCAACAAGAGAAAAAAAACCCCCCCACCCCCCCCCCAAAAAAAACACCAAACAAAAACTTAGAGAACTTCTGTCCAGAATGAAGGCAGTGTAGAAGGCAGCATAGTGGAGTGGATGCAGGAGAAGGAGGAACACACGGATGGACACTGTATACCAATGAAAGAATTTTTCTTTTACTTTTTAAAGAGAAGAGGGAACTGGGGGGGCGGGGGGGGGCGGCAGGGAGAAAAATGCAACAATTAATGAATGGAAATCCAAAGTCTCTGTAAACATTCATTAAAACGAATAATAAAAGATACATATCATTAAAAAAAGATAACTACATTTTACCCAAGACCAGGACTATGGACCCCACATCCAATACAATATTGAGCTGTTGACACTCAGCTCCATATGCATCAGGAGCTGTGATAACACCATACTCACCTCCACTCTGCTCACCTAACTCTTCTCTCCAGGTTTCAACAATGAGATAGAAAGCACCCTAGATGGATTGAGGAGGAAGGAATAGAAAACATTAATCAAAGCAATGGCTAAATAAAGACCAGAGCTCAGGGATCAAAGCTAATGGGCAGTTCTATGAACAGCTGGCAAGGGACAATTCCCAGGGGGCTGGCCCAGGGAAGAAGTAGCACTTGAGGTCTTCTTTATTTGAGTATCTACTATGTACTGTGTACTTTATTCAAGCTACCTGGTTGAATTCTTTGTAGAGAACCATTGTGAGGTCCTTTGATAAGCCCATTTTTACAGAGGAGGAAGCTGAGGCTGGGTCTAAGACTTCAAATATAGGTCTGTGCAGATCTGTGCTTTTGGGGTTGTAGGTTACAGAATTTTTGAGAAGTCAGGAATAAAGGATCCTAAAACAGGATGAACCCTGGTGGCCTAGTGGTAAGAAGCTGCGCTGAAATCCCGAAAGCATGAGGTTCTAATCCATTCCTAGGGAGGAGGAAATGTGCAATTAACTGCCTCTGAAACCTCTGGACGGCCAGCTACGGGTCAGTTTCAACTGTAAGTCACAACAAGAAGACAGGTTGAGAGAGTTTTGGGTGCAAGGAAATTAGGGGATAAATATCCCAGAGTTTAGGGTTTTCCAAGAAGCAGAAATAGGGTTGTGTAAATTTATTGTGTCCAGGAGATGGGTTTAGAGTTCTGGAAATTTGGAGTCCTCACCATGCAGGATGGGGTCAAGACTTTTGGGGTCTCCAGTGAGTAGAGTTTGGGGGCTCAGGAAAGGTGGAATTCCATGTGGTAAAGTTACTAGACTGCGGATCTGAGGTCCTGAAAGAACAGAGCTGGCTCTTGGAAGCTATAGGGGGTATCTGGGCGGAGGGTTAAGCACTGCGGGGGGGAAGGGCTGGGGCCAGGGAAGGTGCGAGGGTCTCACCGGCCAGGTGTCACGGAAGGGCACCCGCATGAGGCCATCGGGCAGGGATAGGTCGGACCGAGGTGCTCCAGACTGCCGAGTGTAGATGGGGCCCGGAGCGCTCAGTGCCTCGCCCAGTGTGCACGCGGACTCGGAGGCTTCCTTGGAGACCCCAGGCTTCAGGCAGACTCGGAAGAAGAGGCGGCAGGGCCCCTTCGTGCTGCACAGCGATCGCGGGGCCCCGGGGCCCGGGCCTGGCCCAAAAGAGTGGATCTGCAGCTCGAAGACGCCGGACGGCTGGGCCTGGGGAGAGCGGCACGGGGTGACGGAGGGGTCCCGGGGGACCTGAACCCCCCTTTCCCTGGGCGCCCAGATCGTGGCCTCTGGCCTTGTAGCCCTCCCCTCCCACCTCATCTCCCGCTGGTCACCTGGGGCAGGAGAAAGAGAGCCAGAAGCACGACGTGGGACAAGTGCTGGGGCTTCCGTGGGACGACCATGGCCTCTAGGGGTCTTGGGAGCCGCAGCTGCCCGTAGTGGAGCCTTAAAATCCAGCGGGCAGCCACGCCCCTTCGGGACGCCGGGCCTTGGGGGGAGGGGTGTGGCCGGGACGGAGGCTGGTGCGCCGGGAACCACGGGACTGGGCAGCGTCAGGAGGGCCTGGTGCTGTTGGGGTGCGCCAGGTGTGCGTGGTTTTGTAGGTGGCTCGGGGTCAAGGTGAGCGCTAGAGTTAGTGTGTGAGATTACTTATGTTCAGAAGATTGTGTGTTGCGCTAGAGTTAGTGTGTGAGATTACTTATGTTCAGAAGATTGTGTGTTTTAGAGGCAAAAACTGCTGGCAAAAGGTTATTGCTTCATGGTGTGTCTGAGATTGTGTGCCCGGAATGTGCAGTTAAGTCTGTGTGGATGCTTCTCTGTGCATGTGGGTGAAACACCAGGCCTGCTGTGTTAGTAGGACGAATGCTTAACTCTGTGACCTGTGCTGTGTGTGTGAATGTGGCAAAAGCAGTTTTGTGAGGTTATGATGACGACTGAGCTAGGTTCGATGTGTCTTTAGTAGGAGGCCCGTGGTGTCGCCCTGTCCGGTTTCGGTGACAATCTAGTGTTCTTTGTGGACCTGTGTGTGCAAATGCTTGAGCTCATGTGTGTCCTCCCCCTGCCTCCAAAGACAAAGCCATTCTCCTAACTCACCAGACGCCAGGGCAGAGGAGCCCCTGCCTCAAAAAGGGCTCCCAGCTGTATGTAAATGCCGCCATCTGCCTGGCAGCCGCTCTCCTCCCACTCTGGATCGCAGCTGGTCAGCCCATTTGGCCTCCGGAAGGTGTGAGGACCAAATGGGCAGGAAATATCCACCCTAGCATGTCAGGGTTTGCGTCCTTACCTCAGGATGAATAGAGGACCGCTCCCTGGTTCCTCTTGCTTAGTATTCCAGGGCCACAGAAAGGAAAGGGAGTTAGGAGTAAGTATGCCAGGCCTCTCTCTGGTCATAATCTCTGTGCCAGGCACTGGGCAAAGCCCTACAGATGAAGTCAAGCCGTTCATTTCCAGAATTTAAATAATAATACTGAGCTTTAGAAACCAACTATTAGAGGTTTTTAAAAATCCAATTTACTTTTTTCTTTCAGAGGAGTAAAATGGGTGCTTGTTAACATAAGTTCTATTCTTTTGCTTTCCTTCCTTTCCCCATTCAGACTTCACACACCCACACACCCACACCTACCCCAGAAAGCCTCCTAAGAAAACTCTGGTGGCCTAGAGGTAAGAAGCTGGGCTTTACTCCTTCTGAAAACCGGCTGGAAGGTCAGGGATTAGTCGGTTTCAACAGCACACAACAGGAAGCCCTGAGACCTTTGAGGCTCAGGCACATTCTTGGACTCTCACCAACCCCTCGTTTCCCCCCATCTTGGCCTCAGCTCGTAGCTCCTTCCCGCATCCTGCCACGAATCTTTCTCATCTTTCTAAACCACAAACTTGACCGCAGCTCCTTACAGTCTCCTTTGGCTCTTGGGACCCTAAACCCAGAGATTCCAACTCCTAGTGACTCGGCAGGACAAAGTAGAGCTGCCCACGGGATTTCCAAGCTGGAACATCACAAAAGCAGGCTAGGCATCTTTCTCCTGTGGACTCAAAGTGCTTACCACCACCAGAATGCCCTCACAAATGAAATGTCTAGAATCTAATCTCCCTTTGCCTTGCTTTCTTTTTTAAAAAATTTACCTCATCTCACCTCTTTGCCCTCCCTGATGTGCAAATGGGCCATCTTAACAATCAATGAAGTTGCTATGCTATTTTGCAAAAATGGAACAAATATGAGAAAGGAAATCATGCCTCACAGATATGACTAGTTGTTATGTGCCATCGAGTTGCTAATAGTTTTAATTTTGGAAAGAAGTGGGTCTTGAAAACTTGCTTAACTTGTGGCAAACTTTGTATAAAGAGGCTTTGGACTGTTTCCAAAGCCTTGTCACTGCCACCACTTTGAAGATGGGACACTTGCAACTGGTCGAACCACAGGGAAAAAGATAACTGTATAACTGACCAGGGGGAGGGGGGGCTGTATCCTTACATACCTGTTGAACAGGCAGGTAAGTGGACAAAGTTTCCTACCTCACCTTCAAGGCCTACTCTGTATAGCCTCCCCAAACCCACATCCATCTCTCTCTCTCTCTCTCTCTCTCTCTCTCACACACACACACACACACACACACACACACTCTCACACTCTACGGTTCTGTGGTTGCAGAACTTGTTTCATTCTACCACCTCAGTTTTGAACAGAGTACATTTTAAAGAGAGTATGCGTGTGTGTGTTTGTGTATGTGTGTGATGGACAAATTAGTCCTTTGGGAGTCAGTTTATGTGTTGCTGCTTATTTAAATACAGTTTATTTGGAGGTCTTCCCTCCTCAGAATTTCAGCATACTCACCATGCATTCTGGATACTGCTTGTCTTCCTGAGTGCCAGGATGACAGGTGAGTACCTGCATAGGGAACCTCCGGTGACTTAAGCTCCCCAGCCCACTCTTCTCTCTGGAAGAACTGGAGGTTTTCATTCTTGAGAAGAAACTCATTGGAAGATATGTTTCTCATTACAGGTTCCCATACTCTTTGTTAAATAATAGGTTTATTTCCTTGGTGACTTAAGCCAACTAATGAAGAGGTTTCTATCCCCTCTTCCTGCCACGAAGGCTGCAAAGTTGGAACAGGCAAGTGTCCTAGGAATAAAAGCTTTATCTACCTCATTTTCTTTTTAATGTTCTTGTCACCATAAGCTTTATTTTCCTATTTCTAGGACCGCTGAACTCTTCCCAGGCCCTGTCTTAAACTTAAGAGTTGGTGTGTTGGTGGGAGGAGTTTGAACATTGGAGATGTTTTTTGCCATATTTTTTAAATCTCTTTCTGTACTACATGTGATATTATGTAAGCTATGAATCTTTGTCTCGATTTAATGAGGACGGAGAATGAAAGTAAAGCTCTAAGTTTGAGGGGAGATGATTCCTTCCCCTCTGTGTGGAGGACATGTGGATCTAGACTGTTACAGGAAGTCTATTCAATTGCACCCGACCTTCTAGGATCCAAAAAAGTGTTACTCTGTGTGTTTGTTTTTATTTTTTTTGCCAAATTGTGTCTTTCCTTTTCTGGAATTGTGACCACAATAATCTTATCTGTTTACACTGATGTGAATATTGTTACAGAGAACACACCAGGAACTATATGCTAAATGCCTTTTTTTAATGTTTAATCTATAGAGAAATCCCTCTAGTTGTACCTGCTGATGCTGTCTGCATGTTGGAGAATAAATCTAGATTTATTAAAAAAACCAAAAACCTCACTGCCCTGCTGTGGAGTCTGTTTTGACCCTTGGTTTTCTGCAGATGGTAAATCACAGGAGGTTACCCATCTTCCTTCCTTGGAGCTTCTGGTGAATTCAAACTGCCAAAAATACACAGCACAACTCACTGTGGTCAAATAAACTCTAACCTTCTAAAAAGGGATCTAAGGTTCTGCTGTATCAAATGTAGGTCAGGTACTATGGATGAAAGTAACTGGTAGGTAAAATGAGGTCCACACTGGGTTAGGTAACAGGATGAACACCCCACTATAGGAAATACTCCAAAAGAATATGGCAACTATTTGAACAGAGAAGCAAATCTGCCCTTGCTGAAAAATCAGATCAAAAACATAGTAACTGTGAGTGGGGTTTTGTACGTAGCAGAGCAGCTCCCTCACTGAGACTTATTGAAAGTTGGCCCTCAACACAGGATCTGTAAAGACAAATTAAAAAAAAAACAAACAACAACACACAGCAAAAATAAAGAGAAAAAATGAACCAACCAAAACTATGAGATGTCATCTCACCCGAACGCTTATTCACTGTTGGTGGGAGTGTAAAATGGTGCAACCACTGTGGAAGGCAGTATGGCACTTTCTCAAAAAGTTGCAAATAGAGATATCATTTGACCCAGCAATTCCACTACTGGGAATATACCTAAAGAAATCAGAACTGCCACCCAGATATATGCACATTCATGTTTATTGTTGCATTATTCACAACAGAAAAGAGATGGAAACAACCCAAATGCCCACCAATAAATGAATGGGTAGGAAAACTATGGTATAGTCAGACAATGGAATACCACAAAGCACTGAAAAACAAGGAACTCATATTATACAAAATGGGTGACCCTGGAGGACATTA